GAGGAAGAGGAGGAGGAGGAGGAGGAGGAGGAAGAGGAGGAGGAGGAGTAAGAGGAGGAAGAGGGAATGAGCAGCAACGTAAGGATGACGACGAGGAGGCCGAGTGTGAGGGCGCTCCCCTGCCCCCATGTGCACAAGTGGCGGGCGGGTGAGGAGGAGGAGGCGGAGGAGGCGCGAACGTGCACCGAGCCCGTGGGCCCCAGGCCTGTTCGCACGGGCACTCCCAACATGCCAGAAGCCCTAAGGGCGGGGGGAGCCTTTTCCCAAGGAGGTCCAGCCCAGGCCACGGCCACTGCTTCTGTGGAATGCCAGTCGAGACTGCGGCGGCCCTCCCGAGCATTTTTCGTCCTTCTTGGGCCTCCTGGACGGTTCTCGTCGCCACGGTTGGATCCGCCTCGAACAACGGGCAATGATGAACCCCATGGGGGGTCTGGTGACGGCGGATTTCGAGCGGTTTTTTGGCGGGCGGAAGTGCCACCGTTGTCTCATCTGGCCCTCCTCCGAACTTTGCCATCCCAGACCTTTCCCCAGAGGGGGAAGCATCTGACCCAGATTCCGTGCGGAAACTTGAGCATCCATATCCACCGCCTGGGGGACCGAGCTTTGGGGGGCCTGGTGAGGCCCCCGAAGCTCGATCCCCCAGGCGGTGGTCATGGATGAATCCCCGCCTCGCAGAGATCGTCCGGTTCCCAAGCCCAGCGACACGCGGCTGCCTACATGGGGCTACTGGGCAGGAGCTTCCGGGCCGCCCAACGGAAGCCGTCATCCTTTGTGGTGGGTCCGTTGGAGCGGGTGCCCTCCACCGGCACCGCACAGCTTTGGGCTCTGGGCGTGGCTCGCAGCACCAAGGCTGGGCTGCGGGATCGGCCGCGCGGGTTCCATGCCCGCGAGGGCGGCCGCCGAGAAGAGGAGGAGGAGGAGGAGGAGGAGGAGGAGGAGGAGGAGGCGGAGGAGGAGGAGGAGGAGGAATGGATGAGGAATGGATGAGGAATGGAGAGAAGCACGTCAGAAACATACACTTTCGCGAGGATTTCTGGGATCGGCGCGGGACCCTCCCCCATGGTGCTCTGGGGCGGGGCAAAGACATCCATACCCGCCGCCTGCCGAGGTGTCCGAAGATCGAGTCCCCAGGCGGTGGTTATCGAGACATCCCTGCCCCAGATCGACTGCGTTCGGGACCGTTCGCTGGGATGGCCTGGGTCCTGTGAGGCACCCTTACGGTCGGGAACTTTGGGACACCGTGTCGCTCCGCCAGTTTTGGCCCGCCTCGCTTCGGCGCGACACGCCATCCACTCCCCGTTCCCCAAGCGTCAGTGTCTCGAGCCTTTCCCAGCCTCCCGCCCCGCGGAGTGGAGCGACCCGCTATCCGATTGCAAGGCATGGCGTCGCGCCGGGGCCGCCGCCGCGACACTCTACAGTGGAAACCCATGCCAAGAAACACCCTGCTCGTCTCCAGGGTGCCCCAGGTTTCTTGGTTGTCGATGGTTCTACGATGGAAAACGTGACGTCCCCAAACCAAAAATCAATGGACGTTCTGGGGTCTCTGGGTTGGGTTTCTTGTGGAAGGTTTCTTGTTGTCGAGCTCCTACTGTATGCAGACGTTCCCGACCTTACTTGTGCGCGTCGCTTGGCGCGCCCGGGACACTCGTGTTCAACGGCGGCGTTCGGCCTCGGTGAAGTGGGTGTCGAGGACGGAAGGGGTGCTCGCTCCAGAGCGGTTGGCGAGGGGGGTGCGGCCAGGGACGTTGGCTCGGTGTGTCGCGCCGCCGGATCTGGCACACCACGTCGACGACATGGACAACGCCGACGACGTGGACGACGACGACGACGACGTGGACGACGACGACGACGTGGACGATTACGTGGACGACAACGACGACGATGACGTCGTGGACGACAAGGACGATGACGACGACGTGGACGACGACGACGTGGACGACGACACTGACGAGGACGACAACGACGAGGACGACGACGACGTGGACGACGACACGGACGACGTCGACGTGGACGACGACGACGACGACGTGGGCAACGGCGACGTGGACGACGCGGACGAAGGCGACGACGTTTTGGACGACGACGACGGCGTAGACGACGACGAAGACGACGGTGACGACGACGTGGACGACGACGAAGGCGATGACGACGACGACGACGTGGACGGTGACAACGACGTGGACGAGGACGACGACGACGTGGAAGACGAGGACGATGACGTGGACGACGACGATTTCTAAGTCGGGGACGACGACGTGGACGACGACGACATAGACGACGACGATGAGGACAACGAAGACGCCGACGATGGCGTGGGCGACTATGTGGACGACGACGACGTGGACGACGACGACGACGTGGACGGTGACGACGACGTGGACAAGGACGACGATCACGACGCGGACGCCGAGGACGACAACGACGTTGACGTGGATGACGATGACGACGTGTTGGACGACGACGACGTGGACGACGACGATCTGGACGACGACTAGGACGACAACGATGACGACGTGGACGACGAGGACGACGACGACGTGGGCGACGACGACGTAGACGACGACGACGACGACGAGGACGACGACGACGTGGACGACGACGAGGGCGACGACGACGTGGGCGATGACGACGACGACGTGGACGATGTGGACGACGTGGATGACGGCGACGTAGTTTTGGATGACGACGACGTGGAGGACGACGACGACGACGGTGACGACGACGTGGACAACGACGAAGACGACGATGACGATGACGATGACGACGACGTGGACGGTGGCGACGACGTGGACGAGGACGACGATGTGGACGACGACGACGAGGACAACGACGACAACGACGACCAGGAAGACGGGGACGACGACGTGGACGACGACGTGGACGACGACGACGATGAGGACAACGAAGGCGACGACGACGACGATGACGTTGGCGACTACGTGGACGACGACGACGACGTGGACGACGACGATGACGTGGACGACGACGACAACGTGGAC